TCCTTCCTTCCTTCCATCCATCCATCCTACCATCCATCTATCCTTCCATCTATCCATCCTTCCTTTCTTCCATCCATCTGTCCATTCTTCCAACCGTCCATCCATCCATCCATCCATCCATTCCACAAGCATACAGAGACTGAGATGGACCAGTGCCTGCCCTCAGGGAGCGTAAATTCTACTTGGGCACCAGATCTATCCATCAATTAACATGTATTAAATGCCTACTATGTGCTGGGAACTGTGCTAAGCCCTGGAGATACAAAACAACAACAACAAAAGACAGTGTGCCCTCAAGGAGCTTAGTTTCTGCTACAGGTTGGGCGCTAGGTCCATCAATCAATCAATAAACACTTATTAAACACCTACTATGTGCTGGGAACTGTGCTAAGCATTGGGGATATCAAAAGTGGCAGAAGGCAGCCCCTGCCCTCAAGGGGTTTACACTCTAATGGGGAGGCAACATGCAAGCAAATGTATAAAAGCAAGCTATGCACAAGGTAAACAGGAAATAACACGCTCCAGAATTAAGAGGGGTTGGGGTAGCTATGATGGCAAAGTGGATAGAGCACCAGCCCTGAAGTCAAGAGGAATTGAGTTCAAATCTAGCCCTCAGACCAAATACTTGACACTAGTTGTGTGACCATGGGCAAGTCACTTAACCCCAATTGCCTAATGGGAAAAAAAAAGACAGGTTGGAGAAGGCTTGCTGTAAAAAGTATGGATTCCCTTTGGGATTTAAGGAGGTTAGTAGATCAGATTATGTCTGGAGTCTTTTACAGCTCCAACTCTTTAATAATAATTTTTCTCCTTCTTTGTAACTCCCAAGCAAGGGTGTAGACGGCCGGAAAGGCCTGCTCAGCCGGGGCAGGGAGCGGGCACGCTCGTGCTCTGGCTCTGGGTGGGGGAGCGTTCTTCTAAATGGATTGATTTCGGGGCTGCGAGCATTAAAAACCACCCACAGACTCATTCCTTAGGTGGGGGGCAGGATGGATGCATGGATGGAAGGAAGGAAGGAAGGGTGGATGGATGGATGGGTGGATGGATGGATGGATGAATGGATGGATGGATGGATGGAAGGAAGGAAGGATGGATGGATAGATGGATGGATGGATGGAAGGATGGATGGATGGATGGAAGGAAGGATGGATGGATGGATGGATGGAAGGGGTGAGGCTTGGTTCCTGTAAGATAGTCAAGCGCCTGCTCTTGTCAGGGACTGTGCTAAGAATTTGTCCAAGGTCAAGATGGCCTATTTCTCCATTTTGTTGATGTTCAATCTTTTTCAGTCGTGTCAGGCTCTCCCTGGCCCTGTTTGGATTTTTTTTTTTTTTGGCAGAGATACTGGAGTGATTTGTCATTTCCTTTTCCAGCCCATTTTACAGATTAGAAAACTGAGACAAACGAGGTTAAGTGACTCCTCCCCCCCCCCCCCAATAAATAGCAGTTTGCTTTTCATTTCCTTCAACTGTCTGGTGGAGTGGAGGGAAACCTCAGCTTGGTAGGGGAGGAGGGTCTGGGTTCCAGTACAGTAGTTCTACCTTTACTGCTTGTGTGATTATGGGGATGCCTAGGACCCTTCTCTAGAATTGCTTCCTCCTCTACAAAATGCTGGGGTTGGCCCTGCCCAGCCTGTCACACCTGTACCCATACCTTTTCTCCCTCCCAATGGGGGGCCAATGCAGTGAATTAATCAGGAGTCAGGCAATCATAGGATTTTTAGAAATGAATCAATTCCAAGGTCTGCCTTTTACAGTTGAAGAAACCAGGGCCCACAAGTGAAGTGACACAGAGTCCTTCTCTTTCCACTACACCACAACCTGAGGTCCAGGCCTAACTCCTTTTTCCCTGCTACCTGGAGCAGCTAAATCATTTCACTTTTCTAAGCCTCAGTCCCCAACTCTGTAAAATGGGAATGATCATCCCGTCCATATCCTGCTACACAGTTGTTGTGAAGGGCAGATGAGACAGACTTCAGAATGACCTAGGACTCCTGGCTGATGGAGGGGTGTGCCTCAGAGCCCCTTTCAGGCTTTGGCCGACAGACACCAAGTCACTGAACATCAGCCTCAGTGCAAAAATATCTGGGATAGCCCCGACTAAGGTCAGTCACAAGGCTATAGCCACCATCTCCCTTTCTTCCACCTGCCATTCTCCTAACCAAGTTGGATCTGAGGAAGCTAATGACATGTTTGCAGTTCTATAAAAGATGGGGTATGTAGATAAATATGTGTTAGCCAGGTGGTGCAGTGGTTAGAGTGGTCAGACCTGGAGTCAGGAAAACCTGAGTTCAAATCTAGCCTCAGACAGGTACCCTGGGTAAGTCACTTAGTCTATTTCAGTTTCCCTGACTGTAAAATGAGGATAATAACAGCATCTCCCTCCCAGGACTTTTGTAAGCATCACTTGAGAAATTTGTAAAGCATTTAGCACAATGTCTTGGACATAGTAGGTGCTTAATAAATGCTTATTCCCTCCCTCCCTTCCAAAAGCTTTATGAGCGAAAATTCCACACAATCTGGAGCACTTAATCGTATGTTCTTTTAGATCGTTTTCATTTGCCTAGCGTCTTGGTCATTTTTCCTCAGCTAAGATCCTTGTAAGGTTTCGGAGGTTATATTTAAAGTCCCTTCCAGTGCATCCATGTATCCCTCACCCCAGCTAATGGAAGAGGCGCCTGATGCAGCAGCAGACCTGAGCTGTTAGTCATCTAGGAGGGACTGATGGAGCCAGGGCCTCACTGCTTTGGGTGCCTCCCTTCACTCAGTGCCTGTCTGTCTGTCTACCTATCAGTCTGTCTGTCTATCCATCCATCCACTTCTCCCCCTCCTTTCTCCCCACCTCTTTCTTCTCTCTTTCTGTCTCTGTCTCTCTCTGTCTCTGTCTCTCTGTCTCTGTCTCTCTCTCCTGACATCAATCCTACATTTCTCTCTTTGCAGCTCCCAACCACTGCTCCTGATTCAGTCAGGGGGTAGGTGGGGGCAAACAGGACAAATCCAAGCCATCCTTCACATGGCATGCCCCTCAAAGACCTGTCATTTCCCCTTGAGCCTTCTCTAGCTAAACACCTGCTTCTTTTAGTGACTTCACATGCTGTGGGCTCAGGTCTCTTCCCTGCTCTGGCTGCCCTCTTTGGGACTTTCTCCAGCTTACTGATGCCCTCCTAAATCTTGGTGCCCAGAACTGAGCCTGGTCCCCAGGGCAGGGCAGAGTGGCACCATCACACCCCTGTTCCTGAAAGCTCAGCTCCTCTTAATGCAGCCCAAGGTCACATGAGTGTTTTTGGCTGCTGGCTGCCATTGCTAAATCTTAGGGAACTGTGGTCCACTAAAACCTCCAGATCATTCCCCTCCCCTCCAACTCCAGCTGTCCCCCATCTTGAACTTGGGAAGCTGATTGGTGCGTCTAAGTAGTACTGGACGTGATCATCAGTCTGTTGTCCCTCCCTCCTGCTCAATGATCAGCTGACTTCCTTTTCCATCAACTCCACGTGAGTCACGCAACCTCAGTAACATGCTGTTAAGAAATGACACTTTTATGGAGATAGGTTTTGCATGACATCATATGTACTAGTGATATCATATTGCTTGCCTTCTCAAGGGGTGGGGGAGTGGTGGGAAGGAGGGAGAGAATTTGGAACTCAAAATTTAAAAAAATAAATGTTAAAAAACAATTTTTAAAAAGAAATAACTCTTGCATTTGCGTGTATTCTGCATCTCACAAAGGGGTTCCAGTCTAAGTCCGTAACTTAGTCTAAGTCGAAGTCCTCCTGGGACTGACCTCTGACATCCAAGCCCTGGGACAATGCCAAGCACTACCTGTCCCATGGCAACCTAAAGAGGGCCCGACTTCATGAATGTGATGACATTCTTATATTCCATTTAGCTGAGTGATCCTTAGCCAGAGAGGGGTAATCTAAGCCGTAGTGTGGCATACTATTAAGAATACCAGGAAACCAACCCAGGATCACGTACTCGTTTGTTTTGTTAGTAAAATCCAGAGCTTCAGCATTC